AAATTGGTTACAGTTTCTTGTTCTAGGTGCGATGTCTACCTTTTTTTACTTCATCTGAGGTGCTAATTTGTCACTCTTATTCTATAAAAAAATATTTAAGACTACTAAGAACATAGTCTTAAATCACAGTGAGAAAATCGAACAATAAAATATTTGAAATAATACTAGTTTTAGTTTATCGTAGTATAGTTTTTAAACCACGTTTCAAGCTGTAAAGCACTCGAAACGTCGGGTATTTAAAAAGTAAAATATACGCGATAAATTCCGTAAAAACTAGTATTATTTTAATGTGTAGTGTTCGCGTAAATATAAGAAATAAAATACTTGAATAGGAACTACTTAAATCCGTAAAAGAATATTTATTCTAATCCAGTTCACGGAAGTGTGGTCTCAAGAGAACTAGCATGTCCATGTGACTTTTAGTAATTATATAATGCTCCTTCAACGTTGCTCTGATACAAACATTGTCACTTGCAAACAGAAGCTCAGTAGCTCGAGGTGTGATAATCCGTGAGGGTACCATAGTTTCGCAAATATTGTTTAGGATTTAGACATATTTTAGTGGATAAACAACTGAATTTAACGCAGTTTTCTCTCAATCTTACACTATTCCTTGCGGAATAAAAATTACGTGTTATTCTCCGAGCCCCTTCCTCTCTCCCACGTGAGATTGGGTGAGATTCACCCCCCCCCCCGCTCCCTTCTTAACGCTTCGCGTAATAAATGGATGCCCCATACAGGAATACAGAAACTGGAGTTCGGAGAACAAAACGAATAATCAAATAATAATCAATAATAAATATAATAAACGGATAATATACTTAATCAACTATTGTAAAATTTTTAATTACTGACGGATCTTTATCGATTCTAAATAAAAAGATAAATAACTAATTTTTAAGATACCGTCGGATCGTTTATCGTTCATCGTTATAAACATACCTAGATTAAAACTTAAGTTTTACTTTAAAACAACAAAATAATGTGTTTGTTGAGTCCTTTTAAATTAAAGCTACGACTTCAGAATGTGATTTTTTTAAATTGTTGTAGTCTGCTATTATTTTTTTTATTAAAAACTTACTTTTGTACCCTTTTGAGCGATCTAAGGAATATCACAATCTCAGCGTCATCCAAATAATTCCATTAAAAACTTCATACACCATTTTGCAACCCTTAGGAGTAGAATATCTTCTTTATATCTATATAGGACAGCCTCTGAAGTATAAATTAAAATAATCATCGAAATCTATTTACAGTTGACGAAGATATCTCGTAACATAATGGGTCGTTTTCAAATTTTGCACAGGTAAACTTGTCATTTTTGATTGTTTTTTTTTTCGATTTTTTCAACTTTTGCATAGTAACCATGTCATCCCTGGTAACAGAATTGCTGTTATATGGAACAACCTCAACCTATTCTAGATAGCACTCGAGTTCAAGGATAAAAGAAGTAGATTTTCTACAATACCAACCTATTCAGATCAAAGAATTACCTTGACAGAAGCATTACAAATATTTATAAAGCATGGTTGAAAACCAGTTAATACTAAAATGTTATTTCCTACTATTTTTCTAAACTTTGTTCTTTTCCAGCCTCTAGTAGTTTCAGCGGGATGTCTTTTTATAGACTAAGGGTGACAAACGAGCACACAGTCCACCTGATGGTAAGTGGATGTTGTGGCCCATGGATATATACATCTATTCTGGATTACAAATCCTAATGCAGATGAGTTGTCACCCATGTAGACTAAGATGGAATGCCTCGTTTCCAGTAAAAAGGGCCTCCGGTTCTCTACACACTAGAGAGAGTTCCTATTACACACTGGTATTGTGAGAGCGTGGTCCTTCCTCGGTTGAGCCGACCCATTCGTGCTACAATTATAATATTATAACTGCAGCATGGCTCTAGCACGTACTTTACCTACTTATAAATAATCGTATTTTCAAAATAAATTTAAATGCATAATATCCCTTACACGTAGAGTGCTCTGTGGAATTGTTCGGATTAATTTTAGCCGTCAAATTAGGAAATTACACCAACACGAAAAAGGTGTTGCAGTTGTTCGTCGGGGGTTATTCCGTTTATCCACCCTAGGGTGGATACTCTAAAACGCTTGAACGTTTATCCACCCTAGACGGGGTGGATAATCGGAATTCACTTTTTGATTGTTGTTCCTCCTTTCCACCCCAAGTACAGTTCAACAGAAAATATATTCATACTTTAACGTAATATTATTGATTAATTTTTAATAACTACAAACTTAAACAAAAATCATATTACGTATTGCATTTAAACCAAATTAAACTTCCTTGTTTTAAATAATAAGTAATTTATAAATTCTGCAATATGTCCAGGAAATGACCAACTCTAATTTCATTATTGAATAAACGTTACTAGCGTAATCCTGTATAAATTCGTCTCTCAGTAAATGACATTTTACCTGTACCTGTTCGCCAAGCGAGCGCGCGACATGTTATACTCCCGTTCGCTCGAGACCGTAATGGCGGGAAAATTGGAAAATTAGCTAATTTTTTGCTATATTGCAAATTTTGCTATATTTTCACTTTGAGACAATATTTATGGATAAAACTTACAGGAATTCTTGTTGAATGTATAAACTATCGAATAAAATTATTTTTGGTTGCTATAAATTGTAATAAAATACGTAAATTACCCTGTATAGCATAGTAGTGGCATATACTTCAATTTTAGTGACAAAATTACTACTAATTTGAATTCTACACTTTTGTTTTTAGAGAAATTTATATGAAAATGTTTGGAAATATGTATATTTTTATGTTTTATGTGTTTCCATTCGTTACTCATACCAAAATATTAAAATATAAAAAATTAAAAAAAATAATAATAATATTTTCTCTGTGTGACATTTAGAACAATATTTCTAAAATAGTTTTGTGTGAATTTGAAATAAATACAACGTCAAGTTATTTGAAATATGTAAGAAAACTATTTTTAGTTACATTTTACACTAAAAATAAATGAGAATTTGAAAAATAACACATTTATGACCCAGCCGCCATAATGGGCCTTCCAGATTTTGAAGCACTTTTGGCAATTTACTTTTCACTTTTTATACCACAAATTATATATATATATATATATATATATGTGTTCACTATATTACAAGGAATATAAAAAAGTATAATACTTTCGTTTTTAGTCCAGACACAAATATAAAATTCTATAAAAAAAGACGGAGCACCTTCATCAAAACGACACGTGGAACGCCGAAAGTTCAGAGTGATTTCTTTTTTTTTTCTAAGAAACATTGCCAGGTTATGGTTTAAAATAAAAGAGCATATCTTTGTCTTTGATACTATTATCTATTGCATAGTGTCTTTGGTTTTGTTTAAAACGAAAAAATAGTTTTTTCATAGGTACACACGTTTACATAATTCTGATCAAATGAGATCACTGCTTGGCGGACGTAAGGTAGGTATTGTACGATCAAAAGTGCGCATGGCTTGGCTTACAGTACCGTACTATCCAATACTGTGTTTACATAATTAATAATATATTCATTTAACTTAAATATCTACTTCAATAAAATACAATTGAAATTAATTGCAGTTAAACATTTCTATCATCATATCTCTAAAATAACGTAAATAATGTCACATCGAATGATATGTAATTGAACAATTAAAAGTATTTCAGTTTTGACCTTTAAACAAGAAGTATGTATGTATGTATTTTTATAAGTATGCTAATGTCTACTAAGTAATCTTGGGCCAGTTTCTATCATGTTTTTATAAACGACTGTACATAGCGGAGGGGGAAAATCGGAAAAACATAATACACGAATTCGAATTATCCATCCCGTCTGGGGTGTATAAACGAACACGCGATTCCGGGTATCCACGCTAGGGTGGATTTCTTAGAGTGGATAAACGGAATAACTCTTCGTCGCCGGCGGTGGACATTTACCATCGGCCGCATGCTCGTTACTCGTTTGACCTCTCTTCTATAAAAAAAATTATTTGATCCATAGTTTTGCTTCTATGGCCATTAAAGTATAATAAAGTTTTACTTTAAGTTACACCTAATAATAATAATAATATCTCAATGTTGCCAGCGTACTAATCCATAAAATGGTACCTCAGTTTGAACCCCAACTAGATCTCATTTGAAACACGTAGGTACACAATATGCTAAGTTTTTAAACGCAATATATACTATTTATCTCGAAAGGCGTTATATTATGCAGCGTACCGTCAACTAAGGCATCATTACCTTCCCTTATCATCTTTACCTACCACTGACAAGTAATAAGAAAAATCATTTTTATCAGAAACTACTAATAGTAGATATTTCATAGACACATTAGTTGTTTCGTAATGAGCCAATGGTCACACTATTTTTTTTAATACTGGCAGCACTGTCAAATGACAAGTTATAAACGTTTGTTGATACTCACGGGACACTTGTCGCAGCAGAAATTCTGGTCGAAATTTTAAGTGCTTGTAGAATTCACTTAGCTGAGGTAAGTAGAATTGATACATATTAAATATAACCTTCCTAAGAAGACGTAGAAACTGTTATAATGGTAATTTCTTAACAATTTTAAGAGAAATTTGCATAGGTAATGATAGTTGAGGCTATGTAAAGTTGCCACAGTTTGTACAGTGGCGTCTTTACCTGTAGCTAGGGTTGTCACTATAATTTACCGGTCTCTATACGTAAATGTTTTACTTTTAGGAGGGCTTACAAGCTGATTAAAACTTACATAACAATATTAATACACTTATTCTAATAATAATAACAATGCAATTGTTTATACTTATCATTTCCATTTATATATTTATACAGCCCAACCAGATGAGAAAACTATTAAAATACTTAAATAATAAAAATTTTGAAAAAATATGTCAAAAGGAAGAGTATAAGAACCAAAAACCTCCAAGATAATTCTTCGGATTCGGACTCTGACTGCTCTGTACAGTATGCAGATGCTTCGGAATACAATTCAATTGAAGACATGCAGGATTACTTATTGAGACAAGTGACAGAAGATCAGAAAATGGATGAAAAGGAAAAAGGTGAACAAATGGCCTATTTGGAAACGAAAGGACATGAGACAGAACGATTGAGAACGGAAAGTGATGTATGGATAGAAAACGAGTTGTCAAATGACAAGGAGAAAGAAGAATTTGGAAAACAGGAAATACAGGAACAAATGAAAGAATTGGAAAAAAAAGAGCATGAGATAAAAAACTTGAGAATAGAAAGTGATAATAGGCAAGTACAAGAGATGTTATATGAATATGACTTGGAGAAAATCGAATGTGAAATACAGGACACAGAGGAACAAATGAAAGAATTGGAAACAAAAGGACACGAGGAAGAAAACTTAAGGATATAAAGTGATGAAAGGAACGGACAGAATGTGGAAAAACAGATGGTAAATGAATATGAAATGGAGAGAGGCTTATGGTAAAACCGGGAAACAATGAAACAAATAAAAAAACTGGAAACAAAAGAACACAGAATAGATAAGCAGGAAAGAAAACAAAAGATAGAAAGCCTAATAATAGAAAACGATGAAAAAAATGGACTGAAGATAAAACGACCTAGACTAGAAGAGACTATTTCAGAAGAAGAGACTAAAAATGAACAAAATGAGAAGGCAAATAAAGCCGAAAGTTTATATATGGAAGGACAATACATCTTAGTAAAGTTTAAAAGTACCAAAAATACGTACAAGTATTACTGCGGTCTGATTACGAAAATATCCGAGTGTGAAGGTATTTTCCTGTTTTCCTGGTGGGTTTTTTTTTTTTTTTTTTTACTGGTCCACAGTACCCGATACAAGTATTGTATTCAAAAATGATATACTTAGTGCAAATTTTACCCAACCCCTATAAAAACCGGCGTGGAATTTTATATTTTGATGTCAAATTTAAATATAAATTGGAATAATACTTTTAGTTTTATTTTCAATACACTGGCTGAAACTATGATAGTATAAGTATGATAAATATGTGACACTAGTACTTAAACATCCCACACTCTTTACTTAACTAGTACTTTAAATACATCATATACTTTACAATTTTTACAAGTTTATCGCATGGTATTTACAGAACACTCCATACGACTATCTGACTTGCATTTAATCAATGTTTTTATAGCCGTACATTTTTACTTCATTTTCAAACAAGTGGCAGCCCTTATAATAAATTACATTTGTATGAGAATTTCAATGGAGTCCATGCCATCTTTACCTATCAGCCTGTATTGCTCGTATATATATTTTTTATTTAAAGTACCAATATATCTAAACAGAGAGTGTAAAGCAAAAGGGTATCTTTACCAATTTCAGTAAAAAAGGCTTCATTTTATCGAGATATACGGTATAGGTAAAGTAGCCATTTTTGCGGCATCTTTACCTGTGTTATGTTTTTGGTGCTGCTTTAGTGTTTTTGCAGCTATGAGGAGCAGTGCATTTATAAAGCAATGTAGAATTACTATATTCATCGATTAAAAATAGCTTATTTATAAGTGTTTTATATTTCCGTTTATTAAGTTTTTTCTTCAAAAATACGGTAAAGATGCCGTGGTTGACGGTACATTGATATATTAAACGTGTAGGATTACCTACGTCGATAGGTACCTATTACCACGTATTTTAAAATGTTATTTGAATTTTGAATATAGTAGGTAGTCGTGAGGGTTCACTGATCATTATTTTACTATTCCGTCTGCCGTCTGATCCTAGTCTCGCCTTTGTGAGTCCGCAACACAGATGCAGCTGTCTAAGTGAACCAGGGTTAAAGACCTCGTTCTCATGTTGCACTTCGCTGTAAAACGTAGTGCATACTCTGCTTCGCTAATTAGCTGTTTGATTAACAAACACTTTTTATTTTATTGCGGTATAGAAGTATAATATAATACGTTTGAAAAAATACTAGATAGTATGTACTTTTATTAGTTTCAATACCTACTAAAATAGGGTTCAATCTGAAAATAAGTTTTTAGCGGTGTTCCAATGAATCTCGTTTGGCGTAAAAAGCGGTCGACCATTAAACACAAAAAACCAGCCAAGATTAAACGAAAATCCTACTATGCTCATGTCTTCCTCTCTTTACACAAACTTTATGTGTTGTTGTACTCGTATATTCTACATTTAAGCGTGTGTTAGCCGATGCCATTATATTAATATTTTATAGATTAAATTTTCATCAATATCGCCATCATGGCCTCTCCCAAGTCCACTATATTATTTTCGATAGGTAATACACATCTATATTATTGACTCATTGAGAATCCTTTCCCATTATGTAACAAAACTAAATTGTAAGGTGTAAGTACGTTAAAACTATGAAAATTTACTTTAGATAAAAATAGAAATTGGCAGAAATCTATTTAATAATGCAGAATTAATGGGATAATTTTAAGTTCTGTGAAGCGGGGTAAACGTCCCGAAAGGAGCAGCATACGAACAAAGGATCGTGCTGCTGTCTGGCTGTTGACCCTGAAGAACATAATTTTGAAGCAACGGTTCTAAATTGCAAATTATTTTTAACCTTTAGTACTCACATATACTATCATATAACTTAGATTTACTTTGAAAATAAAAATTACAGCATATATGGGTCCCACAGCTGGGCACAGACCTCCTCTCAATTCTGAGAGGGTTTTAGGGCAAGGCAATGTCCGCCGAACTGCCCCGATGCATGTAGTGTTGGCGAACTTCGAATGTCTTCAAAATTACTTTATTTTATTTCTCAGACATGTTGTTTTTCTCAGGATGTTATCCTTTACCGCCAAGCAAGTGGTAAATCAGCACTTACATTAGCATTTCAATTCATTGGTGTCGGGATCGAACCCGGGTTGTTCGCGTACTGTGAAATTTACAGCGATCGCTTAGGCCCTGAGCTACTACGGCTATTATTAAATCTTAGATTTGCCTATATATCTGGGTTAACCCGTAAAAGTCCAATGCCGGACATGTGTTTCTCCGGTAGTAGGGAAGATTTGATCGATCGATTGATCGTCTCACATCTTTGACGCTGATCTCCGTCCTTCCGTGTTGACTTCCAGTCTGGTTGAGTTTTATTTATTTATTCAAGTGCATTCTTTATGTAAAAAATGGAATGTAATTTAAATAAATATTTCAAATGAAAAGTTGTTCTTCGCTTAATTCTAATCTTCATATTAAGGTTCCCTTTCTTTGGCTCTCGGCCAAACGGAATTTGCTTTTGTTAAATTCTTTGTTTTCATCTATAAATATTTTATGGTGAATAGTTACTTTAGCATAGTTGTTTTAATTTTAGCTGATTAAAAAATAAGGTGGTTTACATAATGATTTCTTATATTTACGCGAACACACACATCCACAAATCAATAAGGTGGTTTACTTTAATATTGCGAAATTAGTACGTAGTAATGCACGTAAAACCACAAATAAATTATGGATCGTTCAAGTTATCTCAATTTCTGGGCTGAAGTGTAAACTATTTGCTTTTAATTATAATATTTGATTGTAAAAGCGTGGGGCGCTGGAACAAGAAAGACTTTCTTGTTAAACAAATACTAATACTAACTTCCTGGCGGAAGGTGCATAAGGTACGCACAAGAGCATAACGTTTATGCCGCCAATGGGTTACCAAAGGGAACCAAAGATATCTCGTCCACGAACAAGAACTCTACATTTTGTCACTGTTGACGCATTACCATTATGTACTTAATTTCCTGAAAGAAGAGGCGTTAAAAATGTCGGTGAATGTCGTCTCTCTTCACTGCTGGCGCATGTTTTGTCTCAGTTCGAAAAACTGGTTCTTTGAACAGACTGTACTTACTAGTCGTGCTGCAACTCCAGTCAGAGCGCCAATCTGTGTAGCCTGCTTCCCGTAACATCGCTTAACTTGATTTCTCAGCAGTTATACGAAAAGTCTTTCCTATTCCACCCGCCCCACGCTTTTATAATTTAAAACGCTTTTAAAAGCACATAGTTTACACTTCAGCCCAGAATTTGAGACAACTTGAACGACCCATAATTTTTTTTGTTTATACGTGCATTTATAAAAGCGTGTTTTTCTAGTGTTTTTTAAACTATTAATTTATTAAGCTATTGCATAGCTTCTATCGCGGGCCTTGAGCGCGGGGACCGAATCCAGAAATTCCGTAACGAAAAAAAACCTCACGCTCCCCACTCCGACGGGCACGGAGGTGTGGCGTTGAAAGCCGTGCATCGTCTAACGTCGTTTCAGTTCGGCAGACTTCGGCACTCGGCAGACTTCGGCACGGTGTTTGTGTGCGTGCGGCTAGACGTATGCGTGTACACTAGCTGATAACTCAATGATAAAAATTCGTGAATAACCTACATGTATTGTAAGATATTAAAAATATTTTAAACAATATTAACTTCTCATTTATTCAATAAGAGAAAAAAAATTGTTTTCTTATCGGTCACCACGCTCAAAAAGTGTAACTTGATTTAATATCAAAGACTTAACTGCATAAATAAAATAAATAAATAATTATAATTGCATAAGTTGATAAAAAATGCTATGCAATAGCTTTACCGCGGCAGTCACCGAGTGCCACACGTATTTTTTTATACTTTTTGGTCTTTGATAACGAAATATTTTTAACATTAATACAAATATTTTAAGTAGGCGAATGAGCCCGCATCCTTCCATCTCCGCCAGTGCGTCTATATTGCATAGTGTTGTATCTGTCAGTTTAGAACATTCTAGCTCTTCTAATCTGGAGATTACTAAGTGATTTTACTCTACTTAGGGCCACATACGCCTGTCCAGCCGCTGAAGTACGGGACCCTAAGTACACCACTGCGTGGTCTACTGTACAGCCTTGCATCTTGTGCACGGTAGATGCCCAACTTAAAATCACTGGGAGCATGCGCCTTTCCACCGTACCGTAGCTATACTTGACCGGGAACTGGATGCCTATAGGCTGAATTAGGTTTTTTTTTAATAGAAGAGGGGGCAAACGAGCATGCGGCTCACCTGATGTTAAGTGACTATCGCCGCTCATGATCAACCGTAACACCAGGGGAATTGCAGATGCGTTGCCGGCCCTTTAGAAAGGAGTAAGCTCTTTTCTTGAAGGTCCCCAGGTCATATCAAAATAACACAAAGAAAAAGTGAAACGTACAGTGGTGGACCGCCAAGCATCCAGATGGTGTGGATGGTATCGGGACGTTTGCCGCGTAGTGCGTTCATGAAATTTGGCGGTTGGGATTAATCCGAACAATTAGAGCATTCCCCATGAAAATGCAAAGAGATGTAACATCTCTTCGCAGCGCCAGTGAATCGAGCCGATCGGAAAGCACTCGGTCGTCTACGATTCGAGCCGCTCTGCGCTGGATGCGGTCAAGTGGAAGGAGCTGGTACTGGGGAGCTCCAGCCCAGAGATAGGAACAGTATTCCATGTGCGGCCGAACCTGCGCCTTGTAAAGTTGTAGGCGGTGTGCCGGCATGAAATACTGTCCCGCTCTGCTGAGCACGCCAAGCTTTTTAGAGGTCAATTTGGACTTCTCTTCCAAGTGAACATGAAACTGCACATCACTCGATATGTCGACGCCGAGGATTCCGATACTGGCTGAGGCAACAAGGGGAGTGCCTTTAAACTGACAAAGGGGTTCTTTTTAGCGGTTAACGCGCAAACTTGTGTGTTCTGAGGGTTAAACTGGACTAGATTTAGTCGCCCCCAATACAGCAAAGGCTCAACTTCAGACATAAGTTTGCTCCGGTTCTCGGAGACGTTTTCCCGACAAATATTGGCACGGCCGGTGTACAGAGCATCACCAGTGCTGTCATCTGCACAGCAATGAATGTTACGGGTTTGCAACATATCATTGATATGCAGAAGAAACAGCGTTGGCGATAGCACGCAGCCTTGTGGAACCTTGATGCTCTAATCTACAAGAAAGTTAGTGATCCAATTGCACAATTTCTCGGGAAGCCCATAGGAAGGGAGCTTCGAAAGAAGTGCTTTGTGCCAAACCCAATCGAAGGCCTTCACAATGTCCAAACTAACTAAACTAACGGCCAAAGGGGAGGACCTTGGACTCTACTGCCTCCGCCCATCTATGAGTTAGGTAGACCAGAAGATCACCAGCTGATCGACTGCGGCGAAAACCGTGTTGGCGATCACTAATCAGCCGGTGATCCTCATGAGCTGGCAGTTTACAATGGACTCCATTGTTTTGGAGAACAAGGAGGTGATGGCCATAGACCGGTAGTTGGACGGGTCTGATCGGTCGCCTTTTTTAGGGATCGGGTGGAAGAAAGCCGTCTTCCATGATTTTGGGACTACGCCTAGGCAGTAGGAGTACCGGAAAAGACGCGTTAAAACCGGTACCAACTCTGTAGCACACGTCCTCTGCACAATTGGGGGGATTCCGTCAGGCCCACTCGACTTGTGGATGTCCTGGGAGAGTAGTGCTTTGCGAACCGAGCGCTGTGTGAACTGCACTCACACTGCGGGATGGTCTAGGCGTACTCCCCCCGTCATCGAGAGTCGAGTTGGACATTTGGTCGCGTCTAATGTGCGGCCAGACGATGTCCGAGATGAATTCGATACTCCCATTCACTAGCCCCTTCTCCACGTCTATATTGGATCGCAACATGATTTTAGCCCCTTTGAAAATTTTCTTTTCTTAATTTTCTCGGTAATCCACCCGTTTTATTTATATCGCTGAGAATAATGGAATCCAATGAAGTATTTCCAAGGTTTCGGGTCGCGTCAATAATGTGGTCTTGAGCCTTTATGTCGCACATGTGAGTACCTTTTTGTTTGTTTTAAGAACTTCATTGTTGTGCTTCTCTACTTGGTTTGTTGGATAAATACTCAGTGCTTTTTCAAGCGCAAACTCGCCGGTAGCATTTTATGAGACCTTAGTCAGCAACTAATGTTCTCTGTCTGTCGGTGAATGTTGCTCTTCGCTCCAGTTAAAACTGTGTGGTCCGGCTGTTGAAACACCTGTTTCCCACGCACTAGTGCGCAAGCTGCATGAGGTCGCCAAAGAGCATAACGTTTATGCCGCAAAAGAGTTCATCTTAATTCTTTAGCGGGCGTAAACGAGCGTCCATCATGCACAAAATCTCAAACGGAACCATGTTCACCAAACAGCATGTTCACTAAGACGCCATCTCTTTGAACTAGTAATTTGAGCAGGCTATGCAGTGTAGAGCCACCTAATAGTCGTGCTGCAACTCCAGTCAGAGCGCCAAACTTTGTAACCTGCTTCCCGTAACATCTGTTCACTTGATTTTTCAACAAGTTAAACAAGAACATCTTTTCTGTTCCAGCGCCACCAGTTACGAAAAGTTTAAACCTTTGTAGATCGCCCTGTAGTTGCGACTGAATGTTTTACGTGATATTATTGAACAGTTGTCTTTGGTCCATATTCATAGCCTGTCGTGCTGAGTCGAATTGATCATTGGTCATAGCCTGTTCAGGATAGTCTTCAGTGTGTTCTATATTGTTCAATACTGGAGGCAATTCGAGGATCTGAAATGCGTGCACTTGATTGAATGCAACTTCCAGCTGCTGGTCGCGCTCTCTGTGCTGCTCTATGTGGCCGCTAATTGCCTTCAACTGCTCTTCCTGAGCTAAGAAAGCCTCTCTTGCACTATAAAACCCTTGTAACAGTTCTGCTTCTGCGCGATAAAGTATATACTGAATCAGTAAACTGTAATAAAAGTTCTCCGCATCAGTGGACGCTATGAAGTATGGTACTCGAAGAGCAGCAGGCACAGTTCTTACGATCATTTTGCTGTGGTCTGTTAACGTAATCAATTGCCGACGTGTTCGAGTTGATGTGTCCTCATTGTTTTGATCAATGCTTTCTTCGCTTTGGTTCTTCTGGTAGTAAGTGTCAAAGAGCATTGCAGACTCAGTCAGGCTCATGTTGGAGAAGTCATATGTCGGGTGATCCGCAGATCGCTTTTCGTACCGATTAAAGAGGTTGTTGCAGTATCCTGTGGCTTGCCCACGATCGTCAAAACGCAATACTCGTTATCGCTGCTCCGGTTTCCGTGTATTTAAACACACACAACTACGAGAGCTGACACGAAGCGGCAAGTGACACATGCAAAAAGCGCATTCTAGGGCTGACACTTACCTTTCATGGAGAATTTTGATATAAATTCTAAAAAGCCGCCGATAAATGTCTAGCTCCTCTCGCTGTATCTGTTGAATGGCTTAAGCTATTCCCGAGTCTAAATTAGTGGGCTCTCCTTTCGACAAATATTTGGCGATATAGATAGCTATCGCTTCTTCCGACCCACAAGGTTGGATGTCCATATTTCCCGTCCAGACTTTTAACAAATCGGGGTAGTATTTGTTGACCCACACATCTTCTATCCGACGTTTGAGCAGTCATATTATTCCTCCACTTCGTATAACATCATCCAATGAATGTGCAACTATCCGGGTCTCCGGATTATCCGGGTGGGTGTATGTTTATGAATCTGGCATTTTTTCAACAAGTCATTAAGTTGTGGCTCTTCATCTTGGGATGGCAATTTGTAGGAAGCGACGCGGTCAATCTAATAGACACCTTCGACAGTATCAAATGTTGGATGATTTTCAATCTACACAATCATGTGCAAATGAGGACTGCCTCGATTCTGGTACCCAATACGCCACCAGTGATCCTTCAATTTGCCACCCAGAATGTCATCGTTACTTTTTATATTTTTTAACAACGCTCTAACACTGACCATGGAATGCCGGCTTAATAACACTGGGTACTTTTTAATCAAGCACTGAGTTACATGTATACTCAATGAACTGGGGTCCTCATCAGGGCGATTATCAGCAATCAGCGGTGACTTGCGTTGATCTAACTAATTTAGATCATTTGAACTAAATGTTAGAAAGTACGTTGGTGGTCCCAACGTCCTGGTTTGAGCCAAGAGGTCATTCAAAGCGGCGGCTCTCCGGTAAGCATCGTATTCCTTGAGGTTTTTGATATACAGATGAACGTCCTCAATATATCCTTCTTGATTCCGTATTTTATTACCACACGCCGAGATAGTACTTTTAACTCGATAGTACTCGAATAGCGATAGTGCGTAGAATAAATAATCATTACGCTGAAATCGTCTATCATCGCCTAACATTCTTACTTGGAAATAGTCTAGCGGTGTAATCGTCACTGGTCGCGGTTGCTGAAGACCATTAATGCCATAGGGAAACAGACCAAGCACACCAATAAACCAAGCAAATTTTTCGGCTTTGATTCCCTGTGCAACTTCAACAATATTATTTGTTGTTTTTCGCACTATGCTGTTGAGATAGCATGATACCTCAAACTCCTCCTCAACATTGGGCTGCACGACGTCAATCGGTGCCATTACAGTCTGCAAGGGAATATTTTGTAATGTTATTAATGGCAGGTCTGGAAGTGAGCGGTTTCCAGGAAATAGCTGGGGTTCTGTATTGCAACGCATTGTTTCTTCTGCTTCCATGATCTGTGCAGAAAGGGGCTCTATCTGCGCTGCATTAACTTGAAAAGACAAAGTAGATGGGTCTAGACATCGATGTAATCCAGTGTAAACTGGGAGCTTCTTGACACTGTCGCTCGCTTAATTGTTCTTACAAACTCATCTATATTGTTACATTGAATGACACAAGTTTTGCCGGCAGTCTTCGCTTGTGCGCCTTTCGGTCCACATGAATGAGAGTCCGTAAAGTAGTATTTTATTTTGAGGGGTTCTCATTAAATTAACTGAAACTCTTATTTTCTTTATTTTAATTTAATAGTGATAATGTGTAAATAATCAAAATATAAAAGGCATATAATTTGATTGTTTACACATTTTTGATTGTTGACACATTTGACACAATAATTTAAAAATTTATTTTTAAATTATATTAAACATTAAAAATTACAAATTCAAATTAATTATGTACCTAAATATGAATTAATTATGTAAATGATTTGTTAATATGTTATGATTTGTTTATTATTGTTGCATGTAAACATATAATATCTAGTCAAGATTCTAAATTGACTCAGGACGTTTTTAAAAAGACTTTATTAATAAACTTATAACTATTAATGTGCGATACATTACTTGTATACTACTTAATTAATCCGCGATGGATTCTAACCTAAGGCGCATGTGCGATACATGTGCGAGCCAAACTAAGACTATCCTAATTCTTATTCTAGATCTTTAAGCTAAAGAACAGTTATCAGTATTCACAGGAAAGACCACCCGTCTTCCAGACGCAATTCAGCAATCTACGCCCACGCTTACGCTTGAATTGTTATGGTCTCCGGTGCAGTTCCGTGAATACCGGGATGCATAACTATCTATTGTAAAACAGCATGAAAATAAAAGGCTTATTTATTTATTTATTTAAAATAGTATTTTCCGTCGTACACCATGACTCCTAGTGATTTGCCTTCTGCTATTAACACACCTGTCTTATGATTATTAAACAACTCCTTGAGAGATTGCTTGAGTGTCAATCCAATTTCAATTGGTTGTCTCTATGAACAGTGCGGATACCAGATCATAGTTCAGGCAAAACGATATACCTTGTCACATTAGTTTTTAATTATATCAAAGTAACGAACCAGCAAGTAATCATTATTTTGAATCAGATAAGCGACAATGGTACTATACATTTTATTGACTTCTATCATATTCTTATTCAGAATATTAGTCATAGAAAGCATATTTGCGCGAATTATATTTGCTAGCACCCTTGCACAACATTGCACACCTGCAAAGCCAGATGTAAATATCGCAGGGTTAGCTTGATTCCACGAAGCGCGTACAATTCGTGATGACACATTTATCGTCGTGTATACAGAAATCCCCTGTCGCGGCTCTTACAGTTTTAAGGCCGTTTGGCTGTGGCTCGTTGTGTGGTTGTTGTACTTCGTCATTTGGCGAAGGAGCTTAACTCAATCTAATGATATCTTCATCGTTTAACTGGAGTTTGTTGTCAATAGTAACATCTTTATAAAGTGGATTATTGGCAATCAACCATAGTAATGCGTTGTTGGCTTTTTCTCGAGATATTGTGAATTCTCGGGAGACGTTAGAATTATAGAGATGCTCCGTAACAACAATAATTCAAGGATCGCCAGTCGATCTGAGTAGCATATTTGGAAGTTTTTCAGTTATCCCAAATATATCCTGAGCAACAAGAACAGCTTGGAAATGCATATTGCCCAAACGCGCCGCTTAATTTAATGACTTTGACGAAGGGAATTATTCTTGATAGTAATCTTTGCTCAATTTGCGATAAATCTGCGATTACGTCTGGAATCGGGCCTGGGTCGAGAATGTTCCAGAATGCTGTTTATTGTGATAAGTACTTCTTTGTACTCACATGTTTTTTTGCAACGATTACACAAAAGTAACATTGATTTCTGCTTCAGTTCGTCAGGTAAATATGGTGCATTTTCCATCAAAATTGTCCATCGGGAGACTTGATACTGATAGCATCGTTTGGTACAAATTTCACACACTTTATCACTAAACACATAAATGTTTTTCTCAAAAGTTTCTCTAGCTCTTTGTGCAGCTCTGGTAGAAGCATTATGCTCACGTAAGTGCCGCAACCGTATATTACGCTCTTCGTCCGTTTCCAAAGCTCTTGATTGAGTGATGAGTTCTTGCAAATATTAAAGTCTCACGGCCTGTTCTTCTTCTGACTGTGAAGCTCTTTTTTGAGAGTCATATTCACGCAAGTACTGAAGACGGGCCTCTCGCTCTTCTTGTATTGAGATACGCGAACTTGAGATTCGTATTGTCTTAAACATTCTAAACGTTTTTTTCGTTGCTGTGGTGTCTCTAGCTCTATATTGATTCATATACGTTTTTGTAGAGATTTTTCGTTTTCACTGAGTTTTAAGGTTTTTTGTTCGCGCTTTTCCTTTTCTTTGTAGTCTCCATTTTCTTTGTGTGCTGTTTCTTTTTTTGTAGTTTTCACCATGTTATTCCCACGAGTAGTGAACAATTAAACGGTCGATCCCCCCAGAGGTCCGTGTAGTGGGACAAGGCTATTTACAACAAGGTTTCGCCCGGTGCCCTGAGGTGACGCTAGCGACATGATATTATTAACCACCCTCATGCCATTCAGCCCTCGGCATATTTCTCATCTTGGCTTATGTGGGATCCTTAACAACCTACTACCCTATTTACACGTGAATATAAATCATATATAGATATATCAATATTATTTCATTCATCATATCATTCCATTCACACTCTTCATGTATAGGTTTATATACATTTTATACAGGCACCTATGTCACCTATGTCAATATTTACACTATTTAATATATAATAGGTTTGTTATAACCTTGAAACCTGATCGTGTTCAAAGTCCATTACGTGGCCTTTCTCACAAGTGCAAACACGACTATGATACGATATTCCATCATGGAATGCCAGTGCCTATCTTTCGGTTTCATCATCAGACCATGAAACCTAATCGTTGTCAAAGTTCATTACAAGACTTTTCTAAGAAATCCAGAACAGCTATGATACTATTTTCCATCATGAAGTTCCAGTTCATATCTTCCGGCTCCATCATCAGATCAGTTCGACAGTACCATATTATTGTATTTTCATCAGAACTACAAACAGCTGTCCATTTTCATTACGCTGCGACTCTTGGAAGATGGTTAAATTAGTTACCTTAGATTCCATTACATATTTATATACAGATCGACCTAATAAAAGCGTGTCAAAAATGTATTTGTAGGCATATCTATAAAATGCCGGTGGATCTAGTGACTAGATGATATTGAGGGTATATCGAGAAACCCTCCCACTCGTTTGTGCAGTATAAAGTTCAGTGTAGGGGCAGAGCGCGAGAGATTCCGCTTAAGTCGTTTCACGAGTGAAGTCATTCTACACGTGCTAAGATAGTCGTTGTTCTGTCCATTGTGGTGATTCTTCTGGTGCAGACAAGGAGGATGGTATTGCTGAGAGGCTGTGCTGTGTTACGTTGAGATGGGTAAGGTTGCTGTTGGTTTCCATAATTTGGTGTTATCATGTAGTTGTGTCCTTCACATTGCACTGGTGTGTAATAGTGATGGGGACTTACTGCGGTATGGTCAAACTGTAATTATTCTATGCTGAATGTATAGTGCGTTACGCTGTCCTATTATTGATAATGATGAATTGCGCAAGCAAGAGAATAAGTTGAACATCAGTTCTCACACTTTTACCATTTTTAGTAATTAACGCTATCCTGTTATTTCCCACACAATTGGTTTATCGAGTTGTACTTTCCGACATCAGAAGTGGATAAAGTTCTTCTTGTCGCCCACATATAATCTTCGAATAGTGTAAAGGTTGTTACGTTTGTGACAGACTATGATACGCTTTGCGTTGATACCTTTGTTTTTTTTTAATGTTACATAACGTAATGAAAGTTGCTGTTCCCATTTACGACAATGACTTATCATTAAAATATAGAGCAAAAGTTTAAAGTGAAATGTTTTAAGCCTAACGTTAAATCTTTTTGTTTGATTTATATCAATAGTACCCGCAAGTACTTTTGTAATTTTTAATGTACCCAAATATGTTAACAAATGTTGAAAGTACAGTGGAAATTTAAGTTGCTCGAGTGATGTCATTATTTGATAGTTCATGCGAAATATGATTTACTTGGGGTACATTTTAAAGTACGAAATGTTAAGCGATCTACCAAAAAAATGTCTAACTTTAATGTGCTATCGATTAAAAGAATAAGTAGCTATTTGTGTTCTAATGTGCTGATAAGTGTTACAGTTTACGGGTTTACCGGGTTAGTAGAAGTCGCTACCACGATGATCAATAAAGAAGATGTCCATAAGAGCCAGTCGCCAGCGATAGTGATACTTTATAGATCCTATAATACTGTAACTGCTAACTCCAATATTCTCACCCTCAAAGGTAATGTGTCAAATATGAGCGTATTCCGAGTTCAGGCGCATGCGTGTAAGCAAATTTCTTATTTCACTGTGTGTATAGTTATTCGTATGCAAATCACTGTTTTGTTTCACGTTCAAAAGATTGATAGCATCGAAGGGGCTCAAGATGCCCAGATCTATTAAAATCATGGTGTGAAAGCTGGAGAGGAGAGCCTGGTGCGCTCTGTCCATGTACATGCAGTAGTAAGTAATTGTTTTAAGGGATTCGAACGCCTATTACATATACGTTGTACGTTGAGTCGAGAGGCGGCTGGATGTAGGGGCCCCGCACTCCCGGTCCACGATGCGTATTGCTTGAGGTAACTGGAGGAAGGGGCCTCGCACGCCCGGTCCACGCTGCGTATTGCCTAAGTCAGCTGGATGAAGGGGCTTTGCACGCCCGGTCCACGTTGAATATTGCCTGAGGTGGCTGGATGAAGGGGCCTCGCACGCCCGGTACACGCTGCGTATTACCTAAGTCAGCTGGATGAAGGGGCTTTGAACGCCCGGTCCACGTTGAATATTGTCTGAGGTGGCTGGATG